AAATGCATACGACAGCTGCAGCAAAGAATAAACACATGTTTGCTATTTTTGTAAAAGATCCTGAATCATTCAGTTGATCAAAGCATAAAAATCCACTGAATTATCAGTTTCTTTCATACTTCGGAAAAATTTTTTTGTCATAAAAAAATAACATGCAGGCATGCATTTATTTCTGATTGGTTCCTCGTTTCGATCGGGCCATCAAAGCACGGAAACCAGTAAAAAATTGTTTTAGAATTTTTTTATTTTCATGGCGTCATCATGAGAAATATAGAAAATTTCGGCCACTTGTGATGAATAAGTCGGCAATTTATACTAATGAATCGGACAATTTTTTGCTGAAATCGCTCGTATGCTCCCCTGCTGACGATTTAGTTTTGAATTCATTCAGTTACGTAGGAAGTAGTTTTTTCGTGACTTGACGAATACAAACAAAACGTGCACAGCAATAATTTTGTCGTTAATATTTAAAGAACTGTAAACATTAGAAGATAATTTCCCATCACGGGCGAAAAAAATAAGATGGTTGGAATCTTCTGTTCTGTTAATTTCAATTAATAGAGTTGACACAAGTCGATCGTCGTTTACTTTTTACCGACGGAAAAATAATCACAAGCTGAGATGAAGACATCATTAGTTCATATTATATTTTGAAAAAATCTTTAATTCATATTTTTGAATGCAACTTGTAAATACCCGTTGCTACGTTAATGCGTTAATCAGATGCAGACGAACGAGTTTATAGCATCAAATAATTATTTCCGACTAAAGATGAAGAATCATTTCAATAAATATTTGTTATCTTAGAGCTGCAAGCTTAAGCTTGCTGAGGATAAGTTCAATAATTTTAACGCTATAGTTTGGCATTGAAATATATTTCAGTGATAAAATTATAATGAGGGGGCTCACTACTCTTATCAAGAGCCAGACATGTTGTAAAATCCCAACAGCGAAATTGTAATCCGTCGTAAAACACGAGATTGGAAGTAGAAAAGCAGACGTATTTAAATTAATTAAATAAATTTTACAATTTTGTGATTCTGAAGAAAAAGCAACCCGACCCCGTTAAAAGTCCATGTACAGTAAGTATAAGGCCACCCCGCTAACAATCTAATGAGTTCGATAAATTGAAACGAATTAACCAATCACAATACATGAAATGGACTCCAGTGGACTGAGTAAGTAGCAAATTAGTCCGGCCACCTCACACAAGTTAGCCCAGGTAAGTCCAATCGACTAATCAAAAATGACCGGGCTGCCACTGTATTCTGCGAGCTTTTAGCGCTTTACCACTGCTCTGGAAAAAATAATATTTATTCTAAAACTGAACCTGACAAACTGAGCTATGCATGATTTTAATTTCTTATTAGAATCCGGAAGGAAGTTGATTCTTCCTAATTAATGACGAAATTTTAATATTTAATTGAATGTATCTTCGTTGCGAAAAATTAAAAGTTTGGCGACTGACTCTACTTACAGCAGGAGCCGGTTATATGAAAGCCGGGTATTGTTTTTTTCATTTTCTTTAAAATTTGATCAAATCTTATTATTCATAAATTGAGGATCTTCTTTAACACTTCGAAAGCTGGAATTTTATTGGGCTTCAAACATTTTAAGAACGGTTATGTGCCGTTGTCATTCTGACCTCTTTCTCTTCGAGATTATTAGTTTTCGGCTGGATTCCCGGCAGGTGCATGGATCGAAATATAGAGTTAAGCTGGAATATTCCGTCTATACGCAGGACGATGTAAGTATATAATAGATAGATAGATAGATAGATAGATAGATAGATAGATAGATAAGCTTTATTTAACCAGGGTGACCCAATCAGTAAAAACTGTTCTCCCTTGGGGCCCTGGAATTAATACTATGTTACGGTAAAATCTAGTATACAATAACTATGACGTAGATTTCAAAAAATTTAAAACAGATGTCTTAAAAGACGGTAGGCTATCTCTTTCTCGCAAGTCCGATGGTAAATTGTTCCATATCTGGGTAGCGGAGTATCTAAGTGTACGCTTTAATTGGTCAGTTCTAGGTTTTGGTAACCTAAAGTTATTTCTCCTTCTAGTATTATGATTATGCATTTCTAAGTGCTTTTTTAAATTTACATTAACACCTTCCTTCCTTTTCAAAGTTGGAAACTGTAATGGTTTAAAAACAATTATGTAAAAACACTTAATGTAAATGTAATGATTTAGATAATTTATAGGATATTAAACAGTTGCGAGTAAATATGAATTTTATGTTGGAGTGGCAAACAATATCTCACGAGTGCGCGCAGCTGGTGAGTGAGATACTGTTTTTGCATAAAACGGGAAGAAAAAACCCATATTGCCATATCTTCGAGCGAACTGTGTATTGTTCTGTTTATTACATGGACCAAATTCAGAGTGACCAAAATACACACAAAGACGACAATTAAGACGCTGTTACTGTACATTTTATATGGAACAAACAGGTCTTTTTGATTTAGAAAACCCAATTCACATGTTTGTTTTACATTGGGTGTTTGTAAGGATAATAAATCAATCTTTCAATGAGTGGATGAAAAGTTTCAATGACTACCCCCTTTCAACCAAGCACAACTGGACGCCCAACCAACTTCGGATTAATATAATGCTAAGAGAAGATAATCCACTGGGTGATGCGGGACTTGATGATGATCCTAATTAAGTACGATTTTATGGTGAAGATCCAAATGGACCTGTTCAGATACCAGAAACAGATGCAGAAGAATTAAGTTTAAGATTAACTCAATCTATTGATCCCTTGAGACTTTCCTCATGTTTTGGAATTGACATATTTATAGAAGTTCTTCAACTTGTGGTACAACTAATAATGTACGAAGAGCATAATTGACTTGTAATATTTTAACCACTGTACTGGATGGAATAATGGTATATGATACTCTCAAAAATAAAAAAAAAATGTAAAAAAGTCCAAGGCCAGATTAACCTTCCATGGGGGCCTATTGCATTTTTTCAAAGCAGACCAACATTCATCATTTTTTAATTTCAACAAGATTTAAAAAAATAATGTGAAAAATTCTCTGTATATTAAGATATGCATATATATGTAAATTACTTTGAAGTGTCGCCCAACCACACTTATAGCGATAATAATAATGGACCAATAATTAGGAGAGGTAGTACTATGATTTAAGGTGCAGTTACTGATTAACATGCAAGCAAGTTTTTGAAAAATGCAAAAATTCTCAAGTGATATACGACACTGATTCTGAAGAGTGTATTATTTCATTTAAAAGGCATTTCCTAAATGACTGGCAAGAAAGGCATTGTCATAAAACTCGAAAAGAACATCTTCTGAATGAACTGTAGGCAATATGTTCCTCTTGGCAGTACTAAGATGTTGGAACATGTATGAGATTTGGGCCCTTAATTCATTCATAAAGCAGAAACATGTACGATTTTCGCCTGATTGGATTCAAGCATGGAGTTTATACCAAAAATGACTTATGGTTCAAAATATACATTTTTGTGCGAACTACGCCGAAACTAGACCCTAATTTATAAGACCCCCCCCCCCCATTTGTATCAACTTCGATGAGGTCAAGGGAAAAAACCGCCGAAGAAAGAAAAATCGAATTTTTTGGAATTAGAGAATATCTTATTTGGGAAACAAATTTTATAACATCACCCACTTTGGTAATTATTGCAACTCTACGTTTTATGAGTAATTAATTCGCTTGCTATCGCTGACCGCGTTTTTGCCCCTTTAATTGGAAAAGCGTTAATTAATATCTATAGCATAATAATAGTTTTAAAATGTGTTATAAGTTCACGGCAACCAGGTATATAATCCGTCGTAATTACCCTTACGAAAAAAACACATGCAAACCACATGTGTTTCACATGTGTTTCACATGTGATCACATGTGCTTCACATGTGATCACATGTGCTTCACATGTGATCACATGTGATTATATGTGGTTCACATGTGGTTTTATGGAGGGTACATGTGAACCACATGTGCTTCACATGTGATCACATGTGCTTCACATGTGATCACATGTGATCACATGTGATCACATGTGATTATATGTAGTTCACATGTGGTTATATGGAGGGTACATGTGAACCACATGTGATGTACATGTGGTTATATTGGATACACATGAGGTTCACATGTGAAAACATGTGGTTCTATGAGGGCACATGTGAACCATATGTGATGCAGATGTGGTTATATGAGATACACATGTGGTTCACATGAGAAATGTCTCTACAAACAAGTGGTTCATATGTGATCACATGTGGTTTATATGCGATCACACAAGGCTTACATGTGAAAATGTATAAACCTATGTGAACGAAATGTGGTTGACATGAAAATGTATTTCAAACTAATAATGAATCAGCAAACTTCTGTAATTTGAATGCATACATATACCACATACCTATTCCCCAAATACACGTGCATAATCATCTAAATAATAGTTACTGCTTTGCTCATTTTAAGTAACACTGTATATTTAAGTTGTCTTCTTATTTAAATTAATCTCTATCTAACATATTTGGTAATCTACAAATAAAGTTATTTACATCAAAACACTGCTGATTAAGACAATCCAGAAGATGTCTTGTGGATATTCATTGGATTGTCTATATATGCCGGGTTATTTAAATTATATCAAAATTCTGCTGCTTATTAAATGCTATAGTTTACAATAAAACAATAAGATAACTCAGCCTCGTTGGCTATGAGCGAATAGTAAACTCAGCCTCGTTGTAATAATACATTCGTCCTAATATTTATAAATCTGAGGCCAATCTCCGACCGGTGTAATAACCCCAACGACCGACAAGTGTGACGCCACATTAGGCGAAAACCCTGGGAACGAGGTTGCGCATTCGTTTCAAAATTCAAATTTTTTACAACGACATTCTTGGCTGTTCTACGAGGAGATTGCAATTTTATTTGATAAAAGACATAAAAGGATAATCTTTGTCATTCTCCTTACGATTGGAAATGAAATAGGTGCTGGTTCACTGGATTGAGTCAAATAAGACAAGCATCTTAAAGAAAGAATATATTATTTAAAGACAAAAGTGTGCATGCTAAAACATCCCGAGAAGGATCGCATGGTTTTGTTTGGATACTCAAAGATGAATTCCCCAAAGACGGCATGGAAATCGTATTTTGAAACGTTTTGGCAGAAAGTGGTAAGCATCTCAGTGACACTTAAATAATAATATAAATAATAATTTAACCTAGGTCCGCATCGAATTGTATTATTGTAATCAGAAGATTGTTTATTCAACTTTATCAATCATCATTCATCTTCGTATAAATACTTCGCTCATACACACTAGTGATAGCCGGGAAATATCCTCAATAGCGGTGTAATAATGTTTTAGCAAAGAAAGAAGCAGAACATAGTGACATTATATGCGCTAGAAATATATTGTTTATAGTTTTTTCTAGATCAACATGTCCTTCCAACTGAGACTGGGATATATAGTCGTGTGGAATGTTATCTTCCAAACATGTGCACATCTCGCTCGCTCATACTTAGATGTGTATAGCAATAAAATATTTGTGTATATATAAATTTTCTAAAGCGAGTATTTGTGTTTTTTCACAGATAGCAAGAATGAGTTACTAATGAAAACTTAGCTTGAATTGAGCAGTTGGAGGATAACAGTGATAATAACAGTGATGATAATAAAGCCAAGAAGAGGCGATTAGATGTGACCAGTGCTGACAATAAGAAACCAAAGAAGAATATAAAGGTTTGAAACATATTACCATTTGATATATACCGGTACACAATATGGTCTAAATTAGGGAATACCCCTTGCACCTTAACTTAATTCAATAACCTTTGGAGTCTTATAAACAGTAGCAATATTCTGTATACAGTATAGCAGAATTTTGTTTTTCTAAACACCTAATTTAGAAGAAATTAATGTATTTTTACATATGATATTTCAAATATTTTGTATGTTTTGGCTGGGTCTAAAAGCCTCACAGTATCAGATTGGTACTACCAACTGAGCAACATGGCCAGATGGATTTAAGACTTTAAAGAGGCAGTTTTAGCAGCACTTGCTGCAACCAAGAAAATATGTACACCATCAAAGTTCCACCATCTTTTCCTAAGATTCAAGCCTCTTTCTTGCCTCAGCCATTCCTTCCCTTAGCCATTCCCTAGGTCTGCACAACCTTATTCACTGTTGACCATGAACAACAGCAGTTTCTCAGAAGAATGGATTGTTATTTTGTTAATGTTTTTGTATACAGTAGATAACATTCTCACTTTCCATTTAATGTTTATTTTGTAGGCAATGAAATTATATTTGACTTTAAATTATTTATTGCGATGAACTGCAATTGCTATTAATTAACAATCCTGTTTATATTTTTTCCAGCTTTTGTCATCATGAAATTTCCTCAAGCAAATAATACAATTTTAAAAGCTGTTATGACACAAGAGTGCAAAGAATTTAGGCTGTCAATGGAAAACCGAAGAAAGAATCAGGAAGATCTTAGCAACAATTAAGGACAGTAGGATGACTAAATAAATTATAGTATTATAATTCATTTTTTTATATTTACAGATGTATCTTTTACTCTTTAACATAGTCAAATGTTTCACTTCATTTTGTAATATGGTTTTCAATATATGTGCATTAATTTACTTCACCTGGTAATACTGTGTCTGAGTGATTTAATGATAATTAAAGGTGTCATGCAGTAGTTTGTGTGGATCACATGTGAACCACATGTGAACGTCAAAACAGACTAACATGTGAACCACATGTGGTTGTTCCAGATCCACATGTACTGAACCACATGTGACTCACATGTGATACTACCACATGTGATACTACCACATGTGAACCACATGTGATACCACCACATGTGAACCACATGTGATATAATGGTTCCAATTTCACATGTGAGTCACATGTGATTCCACATGTGGTTTTCGCATGTGTTTTTTTCGTAAGGGTATCGCTACTCTGGTTTTATCTGAAAGTTATCACCACACAAAGATTAACTTTCACGACCCAACGTTTCGACACTCCGGTCTAGTGTCTTCATCAGGGGTGATCTGATGTTGAAACTCGGTTCCTTATTTACTCTCAAAATGACTTCATCTATCAATCAGATGTGAATATTCTTTTGGCAAATAGCTTCTGTCATCCCTACATTTAGTGCACAAAGACTCGCATTAATATGCCAGGCTTCCAAACAACGCCTTTGTCCAGTGGTAATGACCTTTGAATCGTTCCACGCAATGTTATGATTAGTTTGACACACGTGTTCCGCCAAGGCTGATTTTGAACTGTCTAACTTCGAAACGGCCTTTTGATGTTCTTTTAAACGTGTGCCAAACTGGCGTTTTGTTGCACCTATAGATAGTATTCATATACTTTCTCGCAATCACCACATGGTATAGAGTATACAGCATGAGTCTCGGCAGTAATTGCTAACCTAGTAATGGAAGATGTCGACTGTTGAGCAAAGAGCTTTAGCCTCTAGTCCGGTTAAACCTTTGTTTTGGAAACGATATGTTGACGATGTGGCCTCTGCGTTTAACAAAAACAAGATCGATAATTTGTTGAAACATTTGAATACTATTGAGCCATCAATTCAATTCACTGTAGAGCACGAGAGTGATGGAAAGTTGGCTTGTGTATCTTATTCAAAAATTATAGTAATATGTATGTAGCATCTTGAGAAATTCGGAATTGATGGCCTTAGGATATGCTATGCTTAACCAAAGCCAGTATTTCGCTGGGAAAACGCTGTTAAAATCAGATGACTCTTATCACCGTCTTTGATCAAAGAAACTTTCGGTAGTTAAACCATTGTTTTTAGTTTTTATTTTGTATACATTTAATTATATCATACTGTGCCTTACATCTTAGGGGCTGTTTACATGAGCCCGGTTACCCGAGATTCAACGAAGCGTGAGATGATTTTGAGGTATTGAAATGAGCAGATAACATCATCCTGGCAATCGTATAATTACCAAACCAAAAGCATGTGCTTGTTTGGTGTCATAAAGACTTATTTCAATACCTCAAAGTCCTCTCACGCTTCGTTGAATCTCGGGTAACCGGGCTCATGTAAACAGCCCCTAAAACAATTGAGGTTCCGATATTGTGAAACAAAGGTTTGAATTAAATGATCGACCCGCAGCCTCGTTCCCAGGCTCTTGGAAGTATTTCGCGGTACAGCACTGAGTGCGCAGGGGTGCTTCGGGGGAGGTTGCAAGGTGCGAAGAGCCTGGAAGAAAATGAATCCAAGATGGCCGACAATACGAATTGCCTTTATGCAAATGAAGTAGAAATCAGTCATCTGTTGAATACATTCAAAAGACCTATTCACAAATCAGTACTCTTGGATAAAATAATATGCACTAAAGATAATTGCATCACTCAAAGAGCCTTTATCCGTGAAAACGGCATTGCAAAACATTTTCGGATCTGAAAGAGTAAGTCTTTAAAAATGCAAAGGCATCTACACGAAATGGAGACACGAGAATGTGTTGAAAAGATATTTGAACATCGCAAGGTAAGTATGTCAGTTATATGTCGATTAATTTTCGAAATATTTGATAACATTTTGGTTTAATCAGTTTTTGAATTTCAATTTTATTTCAATAGAATCAAGTTGAATACCAACCTGAATACTTTAATGTGAGAGTGACATCTCGCGGTGGCCGCAGTTGATTGTGTTGTACAATCTGAGCGTGAGGCAGTACAGTGGATGTGCTTGCTATTACATCATAACGGCACTTTAAATCCATACAGCAAGGGAAGCAAGCCAATTGATGTCGAGATTGCCCAACAGGGATTACATGCAAAGTTCAACTGTTGGTATATAAATGAACCAACAGACAAGTGTACTGTGTCATTTCAGACAGAATGTTTTTTTTTGTGAAATGGGTAAGATTGATTAAGCTATTATTGAGTTCCTTTCTAAAGATGCCATAGAATTTCGATGGGATGGGCCCAATGAAAGTGTTGAATTTGTTGGAATGTGATACGATTTCAGAATAGGTTGTGTATATGAGCATGTGTGTGGGTATTAATTAGAATAGCTTAATTTAAATTTCCAAGGTGTTCAAATGCTAAATTACACATGAATATTCCTTGAGAGAAGAATACTAAATTATCAGTATGCTGAATGTGATTTCCAGGCAGGAGGGCAAACAAGTTTTAAAATACTTAAAGGTAGATGATCATTTCTACAAGGAAGTTTCAAGATAGGGTTGAACTAATTTGATGTGTAGTTATTATCTTGTTTAGGTACAGGGTACACTGTAGTTGCCAACCAAATCTATTGTTAATCTAATCTTGGTACTTTATATACAGACACCGCTTATCTACATTTGATCCATAATACAATTTATCATGCTTTAGGATCACAGATCAAAAAATAAACGGAATCTTTTGGTGATCTTAGCATTGCTGAAAAAACAACTTCTGATGGAGAACTACAACAAATATCTGAAGACCCGTTACTGGACATCCTGCAGAAAGTCTTTAATCTTGAAAACTTCAGGGGTATGCAAAGAGTACATTAGCTCATCTATGTCACCTGAAGAAAGAGAGCGCATTTTCCACGAGCTGACCAAAGTGACCCAATCTTTCAAATTTTTGTACCTGGCACCTGAATCTGCTCTTTCACCTCGTGTTATAGCCTGTTTTAAGCAAATGAAAACAAACAAAACCCTTTCTCGGTTTATCATTGATGAAACACACTGTGTGGACACTTGGGGACAAAACTTTAGACCTTCCTATGGTTGTCTTCATGGCCTCAAACAGTTTAAACGACCCATTGCAGCATTCACTGGGACAGCTACAACCCAAACCCAGAAGAGAATTGTTGAAAAATTGGGGTTAGTTGAACCAGTTATTCTACAAGCCAACTGTAATCGGCCGAATTTACTATACAAAGTTGTACCAAAAAGTGGGCCACATGCAAAAGAAGAATTAGTCAGTTTTGTACAGGAGAACTTTCATAACCAGTGTAGCATTGTGTACTGCTTAAATACCAAAGACACACTTGACTTTTTTGAGAAAAGTGAGAATGCGAAAGAATGGGTTTCAGGAAAAGCACAAGTCATGTGTGCTACAAGTGCATTTGGTCTGGGAATCGAAAAACCAAATGTTCGGTGTGTTATTCATTTTAGCATACCAAGGTCTCTTGAGGAGTACTACCAAGAGGCTGGAACAGAGGAGGTTGGACAGCAGGCCGCAAAGCATGATGGGTATTGAGCGCTCAATTATGCGAACGCTTCATTTGACGTTTTGACTGTCGTGATGTGAAGAGCTCTGCGAGTATAGGAAAAATGGATGCTTTCGAAAGACAGGATTTTCAAGCTGCGATAGTGCAAAATACTATGATGTATATGTATTGTTGCGATCCGCATTACGACTTATCTTTTACTGTACCGAGTTTACCGTTTTTTAAGCTGCATGGGCTTTGCTGCCATTTCGCCTTTCATAATACTCCGTCTGAAAGAAGACTTTGTATTATACCAAACACCGAAGCACTGCTTTCGAAGTTGAATGGCCTTAAATCTCCTTGTGTCATCAACGTTAAAGCAAGTACTATATTTGAGGTTAGTATAAAGTACTTGTCAACACCTCATTTTTTAATATTTTTTATTAACTTTTAAGGCTTGATTTGTGTATTAAAATTTAACTGAAACTTTTTTTTAGTTTGGTACTATCCCTGATGAATTTATTCATTGTAAAGCGGAGAGAATGCTTTTAATTTGGGATTTTGATGTGGATCGTGTATTGACAGAAAATACGAGCGCTGTGGATGCGGTTACTCCTGATTTTGATGACATCGAAATTAATAATGAGGACAGTGAAGAAGATGAAAGTGAAGAAGTTGAAAGTGATGAGGAAGAAATCACTCATGCTCTACCATTCAAGTGCATTGGAGCTGCTCATGAACAAAGTTACCAACATCATCTGGAACAGGCATATCTTGCCCTTGAATATAATGAATCAGTAAATGTTAGACTAAGACCAGAGCCGGAGAATCCTCGGGACCAAAATGCAATTGCTATTGATCTTCATTATGGAACTCAATGGGAAAATGTTGGATATATAGCTTCTGAACATTGCAAGTATTTACATCCACTGATTGCAGCAGGAGATATACTAGACGTCTATGTTGAACACATCAAGTTTCGGGTTAACTTTTTAAAAATAGGATTTTATCCAAAAATCTGGATAAAGAGGCGTGGTAAATGGGAAGGTCAGATTGTAAGGGCTAGTATGAGTGTACGTTGACATATAATTTCATAAGAACCAGGGTTTGCAAGTTGTGAATTTCTGCAATTATTTCCATTGGCTAACCTATGTAGATTTTTCCAGCATTTTTGCCATCAACTTGTTTTTAGTCTGGTTTCCATATGACAATCAAGTTGTTGCATAATAACTAATAATGATAGATATTTTTCTTAATGGTTAACACAACACCCTGACAATGTTGTATGGAAACCAGGCTTTCTATTTTATATCCTCAAAACCTATTGTCTATAACCAAAGCACTTCACTGTCATGTGATATTTCATACAAACCCTTGCAGTATTAAGAAAATTAGAAAAATATTCATACAATACATGGTATAAATATGTAAATCTGTATTTATTGATGAACAAATAAATAAACTCATCAAATTTTATTATGGTTATAAAATATTGTAAGTAAAATTGCCTTGACAAAACAGCCAAGATTTTGCATTTATACATATATTTACATGATGTTCAAAAAAGTAAAAACCTGCATACACACACCATTGTTTTTTGTTTCTATGCTATTGTTTCTATGCTAATAGCATTTACAATTCATGCAAACTTGAAGATCAATTGTACTAGATAAGGTGTTCATGCCTTTAGCTTTTCAATCAACCTAATATACATAAATATTGCCAGTTCTAACACACAATGGCTTAG